TCACCCATTAAAATCAATAAGCATACTTAACAGTTTTGGATTGTAGTCATGATGTATTTACTCCCCAGATACCAAGTGGTTATGAAAACAACATCGGAAGAGAAACGGAGAGTGCATAAAAATCTACAACTCTGTCTGGAACTGACATCTAGCCATCTTGTGTCTGTAAAGGTAACTAATTCTACACTTAAACTGTTGTTTATTTTCATCAATCTCTGATTCCTTAAATGCTTAATCTTTAAGTGCTTATTTCTTCATGAGTGACCATACATAGTTTAATAACCATGCATGTGTTTTTCATATGGAGGGGCTATAGCTCAGTAACAGAGCATAAAGATGTGCAAGCAGAAAGCCCCAGGTTGGGTCCCTGGCATCTCCATGAGATAGATTGATGAGAAAGCCCTCAGTCTGAGTCATTGGAGTGCTGCTACCAGTCAGAACAGATAGCACTGAGCTTAGGTGGAGCAAGTGACCTCATTAGGTACATGGAAGCTTTGCAAATTGTGGGGAGATAATTTGGTACTTTCATATTATATTCCTGTTTCCATATATGTGTTGGAATTATGCCTGATAAAATACTACCTGCATATTGCAGGGGGTTAGACTACATGATCCTCAGGATCCCTTCCAACTCTATGATTCTATGGGATTACTAATTTATTAAAATCATGCTATGGTAGTTTCTCGAAAAAATCCTGATCATACTGTATGATTTACTGCACCAGACTGGATGGGCATGTTTATTTGAATGCACATCTAATTGAGGGCAACAAAGTGCATTGGATTTATGCCTATGGTTCCTGATCCAACAAATGATAGCTTGTTTCTCTGTGTTGGTTTTCTTATCTGGGTCTGGACAAGAGTTTCCAGCAAGATGATGAGACATATTCCCAACATTACTTTGATTATGTTGCTTCTCCACAATGCTTGCTTTGTTTTTATAAAAGGTGAAAGGTTGAGATTTCTCTTCTGCTGCTATGCCTTTCAAAAATACAGTTCTAAAATCTGATCTCTTATTTTATTCTAGACCTACCTGACTGAGCAAAATGCAAAAGTTGATAGGGCATTTGGTAAACTGATGTCTGAAGATCCATTGGCAAACTTGAAAGAAATCCTAAATACTTACAAAAAGAAGGTTGAGACTTTGTATGCCTCAGAAAAATGAGTGAAAACCTATTTGAATCTTTTACAAATAACATTATGCTATGCTTAACTTTATTTCCATATATTCCAATTTAGCATGTAAGTATTTCAAAGATGAGAAAGTTTAAAAAAAGAAAAGAAAAGCTGTGTTGATCCAGTAGTGTGTTGTCACATGCTGTTAATATCCCTCACTTCATTTAATGTCCTTACTTGAATGGGACTTAGCATCATGGATAGGCCTACACACTACACCTTTTCTAAGATGCTATCTGTCTCCTTCACTTTTTGTAAATTGTTGCAGCCCTTCAAAAAGATTCTTGCAGGCAAATGGCTTCATTTTTTATAATGGCATACCAAAATCAATATACAAAACAAACTGTAGATACAAAGACTGTTCTTATACCGGCTTGTTTTTTGGCACGTATAACTATTTTCCTATTAATATTGGGTTAAGTAATTTCAAAAGGCAATTAAGGGTTGGGACTTGGTCTAGTGAGCTATTTAGCACTATCTAAATTATCTGTTAAACTACTAATTTGTATAGTTCCCTGAAGAGTTTAATAACATGTACATGTTTAGTTCAATTTTATACTTTTCATCATTTGTATTATCCTATTTTTGTGTATTATTGTTGTGTGTTATCCATAGTTACCTTTATTAAATAGATGTTGCTTGCTACCCTGTGCTATATGCTATGGTGGTTTTTAAAATATATGAATGATGGCCACTCTCCTGGTCCTCAAGAAGGTCACCAAAGTTTTTCAAGGTGAAACCACTAAGATAAGCTATGAGCACGTAGTGGAAGGTGACCATGCTTTCTTCAAAAATACCCATGACATTGTTTGTACAGAGACGAATTGAAATGCAAAGTTCTCTGGTATTCCTCCATATTGTACAATCATACAGGATCCTAAGGCACTGCTCTGTGAACAAAAAGGGCCTTTAATCCAATGGAGGCGCTTGCTAAAAGGATAGGGAGGATTTTTGTGTGTGTGAATTTTCTTCATACATTAAGCTGCTCATGCTGCTTCAGAGGACTCCCACCCTTAAGCAGGTTTTGCAAGAATGTCAAATCAGAAAAAGGGCCTCCTTCTTTAGCAGAAGTGGTAGGAAGATCGATTCATGAGTTCTTGGGATGCGGCACAATTGTCATATGCCACTTTGGGGATGGGACTGAATAGTGAACTTTGAACAACAGCCTTGTTGTGTGTGCCAAGTTGATCAGGTATGAGATACACAGTTCGGGAATCTTTATTTGCAGAAGGTGAATGCAAAGATACTAGGATGAACAACCAGACCACAACCTGCGGTCTTTCTTTGCAACAATTAAAACAAATAACCAGACCACAAATGAAGGTTCAAAGCTCTATTTTCTTAAACCAGTATTACACAGTGAGCAATCGGAGCCTTATTCTTTTCTGACTAACCCATCCCAACCTTCTCATAGCGTGGTTACACACTGTCATCCTTCAATGTCTAATTTTATTATTTGTTTATTAGACATTTATTTCTGATTAATTATTCTATTCTTAAATTGTCTACAAGCATCTATTCTTAATGATCCATGATTAATATATCCATTCTTTACATTAATTTGAGATTAAACAATACTAGCCATACTTCATGTATATTCAACTTTTTATTCTTTCACATTTGAACACAGAATGTTCTTAACCTCTACTTAATTTTTTTTTCTACTGGGAGGGGTTAGTGAAAGTTTATAGATTGTTAAGGAGCACGGCTAATATTAAATAATGGAGTTTTAACAAAAAAAATGGAGTCCCAACGGAGAGAGATAGGAAATTCTCCTTTATTCCTAGATTTTATATGATTATGAGGGGTTTGTGTCTGCTTGCCAAGTCCCCTAGAGCATCACTGTCCTACCCCAGCTGACAGCAGCACCCCAGCATGTGCCAGCTTATTCCATCCTCTCTCTGAAGCATCTCTTGCTCTGCAGGGCACATCTGAGCTTAACTGTTTCTCCCTGCTTCTAGTGACATCACTCCACCACCCTCCCCTAAATCAAGCCCTTTTTATCTACAGAGGGAGGACTCCATTCATTTGTATTCTAACACCTATTTCCTTTGATGCTTTGAACTCCTAATGGTTAATCCCACCAGGTGGTCACCTCACAAAGAAGTTTGCCTGACTTCATTAACACTTGTTTATTTGGATAAGATTATAATGTCTAATACACAACCCAGGAAGTGTGCCTATTTAACTAGCTTTTATCTGCGAATCACTGATGCCTATCCCTGGGTCCACCACACCTCTTCCTACCCCTAATACACATCTGGGTCTGGCTATTTTCCCATTCTGACATATTGGCTCTAATAAAATTCTAACATTTATTAAAGCTTAGCAACCACAGATCAATACCAGTTCTCGGTAGCACACATTTGTATTAAAAATATAACAATAAAAGGTAGATAAGTTTATTTTATTTAATACATTATAATTCTTGTACTATAAATAAGAAAGGCCTGGATTACCATGTTGGTACTAGCCAAGCTGCTCTAGGAAGGAAGTGTCAAAGCTGCCATGTGGTTGAATGGCACTTTAAAGTATGAGACACTACTCTCCTGCTCTAAGGGCTTAATGTAGAAATCCACACAGTAGAGCAAATGGAGGGGGGGAATAAGGTAACCCTAGTTAGACATAACTCTGGGAAATAGGGATTGTGTCAAAGGTTTCATAGAAAAGCTATGATTGGTGGAGGAATTTGAAGAAAGCAAGGAAGTAATGGAAGTAGTTGCAGGTAAAGGAACAGCAAGGAAGAAAGCAATTATTTAAGGGAGCGGCAAATTTGAACAGCTAACAGTAATGGAGTAATCTGTGTGAGGGTAACATTTATGGTTTTAAGAGCAGGAAGGCCTTGGGGGATTCTGAAAGTAAGCAAACATGTTTGAATGGTCAAAACAAAAAAAAATTCCTTCCAGTAGCACCTTAAAGACCAACTAAGTTAGTTCTTGGTATGAGTTTTCGTGTGCATGCACACTTCTTCAGATACACTTCAGATGTGTATCTGAAGAAGTGTGCATGCACACGAAAACTCATACCAAGAACTAACTTAGTTGGTCTTTAAGGTGCTACTGGAAGGAATTTTTTTTGTTTTGACTATGGCAGACCAACACGGCTACCTATCTGTAACTATGTTTGAATGGGATATGGAAATAGAAAGGAGGCCAATGTAGGATTGAAGGAGTAATGCATAACCAGGCAAAAGGTGTATTTCAGGTGCATGACGTGTGCAGCATAAGCAAATCAATCTACCTTTACATTAGATTGGAAACAGACCAGTCTAGACTGAAAGGTGCTAAGACTGAGAGAAGGGTCATGCAATGGTCACCAAATTTGGTGAGAAGTGTTGCTGGGTAGCATGACATGCTGCATGACATTCCAGGTACAGCAGTGAATCCAGGAGAACACCAGCCTGTGAATATAAATGAGCTGGTTCTTTTCCCCACATGCCTTTCGATCCTGTCACACAAATAGGGAAATCCTCCCCTGCTAGGCCACTATGGCACAGGCCTGCTGATCCAACACGCATTACGAAAAGAGAAAGGACTTTTCCAGTAGTGGGAAGGGCACCTGGGGGGAAACACTCCCTCCCCTCAGGAGTAACTTAACGGCCCGCGGAATAGCGGCGGTTTCGCTTCCCACTTTTCACGTCAGCGGCGGTCGCGCCCTTGATTCTCAGAGCGGGCCGGGTTCCGACATCGCCAGAACAATAGTTGCCATGGTGCGTTTCACAGCGGACGTGACGTCCTTGAACTAGAACGGGCCGGACCCCCCTTGACAGCCGCCGGATTGAAACTCCCGCGAGCGCTTTCGCTTCCGGGTTTGCCCCCCTCCCTCGCCCCGCCCCTCGTCCGAATCGCCTCACTCTTTGGGTTTTGTTCCCCGCAGCGGGGCGCCGCCCCCTCCGGCCGGCCAGGCCCCGCCCCAATCCACGCCACGCCTCTTTCCTCTGCCTCCGCAGCCGCTGCTCTGAGCTGGGCGAGCCGCGGCGGCGGATGCGGGCGGCTCGGTGGTTGAGCTGAGGCGCTCGCTCGCTCGCTCGCTCGCAGGGAACTGTCAGTCAACATGGCAGCGGCTGAGGAGGCTGCGGAGAGGGAAAGCGGCGGCGGAGAAGTCCTGTCTGTCTACGTGTTCGACCGGCGCCAGGCGGATTCGGACGGCGAAGACAAAGTTGTGAAGTGTCCTGAGGGAAACTACGGCGCCTTCCGTAGCGCCGTGTGCCAGGTAAGAAAGCGCTTGTGGGGGCTGAGGGGGGGGGGAGAAGGGGGCAAAAATGCGTCACGGCATAACGGGCAACCGACGGATGGGGAGCCAGCAACCCAGCCCGCTTTTTCGTAGGGTGCTCGAAGAGCCCAGACTCGAGGGCGCCCGGTGGCTTCTCTGACACGGGGGTGGGGTGGGGGGCGGCGAATCGCGCGCGGGTTGTGGGGGGGCTTCTCTTGACACGGGTGGGCGAAAAGGCGCGAAATGGCCCGGCGGCTGAGCGAGGTTGACGGGTCGCGGTGGCAAGCGAGAGCGCGAGTGTCTCTTGAGTGCAGGGAGGATGGCCCGCTCGGGAGGAGCAGAGCTGTCATCTTGAGAAGGAGCAGGAAATGCAGGTCCCTCGCTGTGAACTTGCGGCTTGCCAAAGAAGTCTGCTGGGCTGTTTCGGATGGGTGCTTGTTTTTCTTGTCTCTTTCACTCTAAGAATAAAAATCTCATCATTGGACGATTTGCAGCGCTTCATCGGCATCTTGGATTTGCACGAAGTCAAGGGGAAGGGGGTGTAAGAGAAAGCGGGTTGCAGCACGAGCGCAGCAGCCTTTGGCATGGGAGCTGGAAGGGAAGGACACGAAACCGAAAGTGGTGGGAAAGGTCCGGAGAGATTGCTCTTTTAAAGTTTTGACAATCAGAGCTGGCTTCAGTACAGAAGCTGTTGTAACAGAGCCTGGTCAAACTGCCTTTTTACTGAATCCTTATTTCAAGTAACCACTTTTCCCTCAGTGCCCTCCTTGCTCCAGTCAAATGTCTGCCATTGTTGAAAACTATGTTTCTCACATTATCTCCTCTGCTTACTCTACGAAAACCTCTGTTGTTGTTTGAAACCTCAGTTTTCCTGTTAAGTCTCTGCAGCTCAGCTTGCTTTACTCAAACCTCTACCATTGATTAAAAGTTCATTTTCCTCTGTGTACTTTCCTTCTTCTGTACTCAAACTTCCAGCCCCAGTGCCAGACTATTTTGTGCCCTAGGCACAGCTAATTACTTGTACACACACATACACATACAAATTGCATCAGCAAGGGCCTTAGCATCAGTATTTCCAGATAAACCTTATGTCATAAAAAAACTCTATTGAGCATCATATATACCAAGATGGTATCTCAGTGGTTTCAAAGCATCAGTTCAGCTCCCCCATCTTGTTTTGTTCAATGGCATTACAGTTATGCCTCATTCTGATACATGGTTAGTTAGCATTTTCCAATGCTGAGTCGATGCAGAGAAATAATTATAGATCCATTGAACCAAACTGAAGAAACTAGTTGCTTCCAGACAACACTTAGTGGCATTATTGAGTACGAAGTTTAAAATGTGTGCATTTCAGGCCACAAAAAGGCACATGGATTTACGTCCAGGACTCTTTTGTATGCCATTTTCTTTGCATTTAATGTTACTCCCATTCACATAACTTTGAGCACACAGATTCTCATTTGGTAATCCATTTGCTCGAACTGTCCAATAAGAGTTTCTGTCATAAAACACCTATAGTCTCCTTTAGTGGAACAAATCCCAAGAAGTGTTCTCTTATGATAACCTCATAAGGCATGGGCAGGGAGGACAACTGCCCCCTCCATCAAGTAAATCCATTAAAATACTTAACTGAGGTTCTGTGCCCCCAACATAAAGCCTGGCTATGCCCATGCTCACAGAGGCCACTTCAGTGCTGCTAACACAGCAGTTTGACTTTACCCCCGGTAGTGCACTCCATTATATCTCAAGACAGACGGATACCATCAACAACAACCTCAAAATATTAATATATACATAAAAACAGTTCTGATGTATGAATTACTTCAGAAATAATAAAAGTATTCAAAATATAAATTAAAATATTATCAGAAATTTATAAGAAAAAACAAATTAATCTGTATAAAACTGTCCCTCAAAGGTCAGCACTGTGCCCCTGTGATATCTGCGCCCTAAGTTGGCCTAATGATAGCAGCCCTCCTGCAAAGTTCTTACTCTTTGGTACTTCAGCTGCCTTGTGTGAAAGAGATGGAGGATGAAGAGCCCACTTTGAATATTCTATAGAACTTTCACACAATTTGTTTCATTCCTGGTACCATGTGTTATCTTCAGTTTGAAGTTCATGATACGGTGTGAAATTTAGTACAGGTATTTTATTAACAAACAACACCCATGTATGCAACATTCACCAGGGTGGATACAAATCAATTATTTTTAAAATTTAAATTGGGGTTTTTTATTTAAATTGGATTTTTAAATTTAAATTGGATTTTTAAAATAAAATGCTTTTGGATGGAAAATATTTCTAAAGATAGTTTTCTATTTAAGTTACATTATAGTCCAAAGGCTATTCATCAGGAAATAATGATTTGTTTTAAGTTTTTTAATGTGTTCTAAGGGACGTGGGTGGCGCTGTGGGTTAAACCACAGAGCCTAGGGCTTGCCGATCAGAAGGTCGGCGGTTCAAATCCCCGCGATAGGGTGAGCTCCCGTTGCTCGGTCCCTGCTCCTGCCAACCTAGCAGTTCGAAAGCACGTCAAAGTGCAAGTAGATAAATAGGTACCGCTCCGGCGGGAAGGTAAACGGCGCTGCTCTGGTTTGCCAGAAGCGGCTTAGTCATGCTGGCCACCTGACCCAGAAGCTGTACGCCGGCTCCCTCGGCCAATAAAGCGAGATGAGCGCCCTAACCCCAGAGTCGGTCACAACTGGACCTAATGGTCAAGGGTCCCTTTACCTTTACCTTAAAACTCAGTCTAAGTTGTTGTTTTTTTTAAAGTTTAACAACATCAGTTAACAAACGTGGATACATATGCTATATTAAATAAATTAAATATATTAAATAAATTGTTTAAATTGTTATTAAGGAAATGATTATTTTTCTCCTTCCAATAAAGTACAGCAGGAAAGTTGTCCAAATATAAACAGTTAACTTATTAAACCTCACAATAATTTCATAATTATCTGTATTTCTAATAGTATAACCAAATGAGTAATTTTTGATATAACTGTAAAAACTACGCTGAAAATTTCCAAAAATGAAACCTTCATCTGGTTGTAAATATTAAGATTATACCAGGAAGAATGAGTATTTCTGTAAAAAAAAAAAAAATTAAATCAAGTCTTAGTGACTAGTGATTCAAATCAAGTCTTACTGCCTAGTGATTTAAATCAATTTGATTTAAATCAAATCCACCCTGATGTCAACCAATGGAACTTAACATTCTGTAATTAAACAAACAAACTACCAGACTTGCTCTTAAGATTCTGTTCATCTTAAAGATGCAGCAGCATACATCAGTATTGGAAGTGTGTGCAAAGGGGGCTGCAAAACGGGAGAGAGGAGGAGGCATGGAAATGGGGGGAGGGGTTGATTTGTTTGCAAGAGTGAGCTGAGAAAAAGGGGGAAGAGGGAGGGAAAGTGGCAGCATTGGAGATCATAGAATTGTAGAGTTGGAAGGGATTCTGAGGGTCGGTCTAGTCCAGTCCAACCCCTACAGTGCAAGAAATCTGTTGACAGTCTTCTCTGGGTAGGCTCAGACAACCAACCTTCTGATTAACACACTGACCCAGAACTACTATATTCCTCTTAACCATTCTGTTTCCTGCAGTAGTGAAGATAATTGTACACAACTTTATCAATCCTAGGCTACATCTCGCCTTTGGACTTGTTGTTCAATATAGAGGTCTGCTGAGAAATGATTACCAACCATGTTCTGATGCAATACTTCTAATTAAAGTGTAAAACAAACGCAGGAAGAATGTTTTGATTAGGTGCTCAGAGACATTCTCTAGGGCAGATCGAAACTGCATTCTAGTCATTCTAGTCTGTAGTTTAAGCTTAAAAGTTTAGAAGACTGCAGGTAAAGCTGAGTAAAACTTTGTCGATATTTATGAGATGAACAAAATGTGTCCTATATTACAAGAAGTAATAAGATCTTGGTTATAAAAGGGGCGTACAATATCATATGGAGAAATGAAAATGTTTGCAAAGAGAAAAATTTAGAAGCCACGGAAGCCCTTTTAGACATTCGGCTTCCAAAAGAATGTTCGAAAACCGGAACAGTCACTTCCAGGTTTCGATCGTTCAGGAGCCAAAACGTTCAAGAACTAGGCTGTTCAAAAACCAAGGTATGACTGTAGTGGACTTATAAAACAAATTAAGCAGAAACCAAAAAGTGCCTACATGAAATACTGGGCTCATAGTAAAGAATGGAAAGGGTCTAATGTGCTCCAATAGCATTATAGAGTTTCTCCTACAAAAATGTTTAGATGGCTTTAAAGGGGGATTAGAGAAATTAATGGATGAAGTATCTTCAGTATCTGTTTGCCAGGGCAGCTAAATAGATTATCCAGGTTCAAGTCCAATATGCCTTTCAGTGCCAGTTGCTCGGGGCAACAATAAGGCATTGTTAAAGGAAAGTACATCCTGGACTATATAAACCTTTTTGGTTTATAGGACACTTCTTAAGGTTCTTGAATGTTTTTACCCTGAGCTCTGCTTTATCTCCCTCCACCCTTCTAATTTAATATTTAACTTGCCTTTGTAGGTATTTGGCATTTCCTCCAAAGAAACATTTATTGTCACAACCACAAATAGAATACGGATCACAAATGAAAACTTTGGTACGTAAGTTTTTCTTAATGGATACAGTCTATACCCAAATGCTTTCTGATAAAGTAGCAAAAGTGCATGAAAACTCATGCCTCACCCATTGTTTATTTCTGAGATGCCACAGGACTCCTATTTTTTATCAGAACACTAATTAGTTTCTGTATACATAGCAGGATTTTAAAACATAAAATCAAAAATGGAAAATATTTTTATGCTCTGTGTATGGAAATCAGTTTTTAAAAGAATAACACAAAAGTTAAGTGCTAACTTTCATGTAGTAGCAATCGAAAATTAATATCCCTTGTTAATTGGATATCGGATTTCATTACTAAATTGTTTTTTATAAAATGCAAGCTAAGTAATTTATATTGCAAGTCTAAGGGGAAAGAAGCTTTGTACTAAGTAATCAAAACAATGTACATGCAGGTCCTGCTTTCTGAACACAATGCATTCCCTGGAAATTGTTCATTAGGCAATTGTAGTGTTTTATCTTTTTGTAAACTGCTGTGAAGTTTTTTTACGCTCAAACTGTGTATAAATTTTATGAAATAAATATATAAGTAAATAAAATATATTTAAACAGCAGTATGAAAAATGAAGTTGGATTTTTATTTCATATATGTGTTGTAGGGGGAATGGTTAAAGATGGCATGACCTTCTATTTGCTACAATCAGTTGACCAGTCACTCCCCTCTGCAACAAAAGAGCGTATTGATTTCCTACCACATTATGATACACTTGTGAAAAGTGGAATGTATGAATACTATGCTAGTGAAGGACAAAATCCTCTTCGTAAGTATATCAGGTATTCTTTGAACTGTAACTGTATGGCACACAGTTAATTAGTACATTGTATTGTTAAGACCAATGTTTTGCTATTAAATACTATGCAATAGATTTAAAAAATAAGCTGTAATTAAAATAAAGTTAGTTTTAAAGTAATCTTTAAAAAAATAGCATCAGGATTAAAACAAACTTTTCCTATTCATCTTCCTCTTTTCCCTTTAATAGCATACACACTTTACAACCCCTAAAAAGTTGTCTCCCCCTCAAGCTCTTCAACAACATACTTTAATGTGTTGAACAGCTGTACCAGTCTATAGTGTCCTTTAATCTCTGGTATTGGCATAGCACCCTACATTGGGTTGTGGGGTATGTGGGGAACTCAGGTCAGAATCCTGCTAATTGTATTATGGATGGCTGATCTAAAATGCTGACTGGGACTGGGAAATTGTCCCAACAGAAGACATTACCTGAACTTACAGTATGACACCAAAATTCAGTGTAGTCTTTATATGAATGAGTCTCTGTCAAGTTTCTAATAGCCATCTGCCACTACCTCTCCTGTCAGAGAGAAAGATACTCCTCTTTTCAGAGGGAAAGAAGATAAGGTATAGCTTGTATCATATGTTGCTTTTCAGGAACATGTCAAAAGTGGATATTCTAATTTTTGTTAATAATTTTAATTATTAGCAAACATTTCTCTCTTTTTCTGTTTAGCGTTTGCTCTTGCAGAATTAATTGATAACTCTTTATCAGCTACTTCTGAAAATACTGCCGTCCGGAGAATACAGTTAAAGCTGGTAAGTAACTAAGGAGCTACTCCAGTGTTTTGCAGGGTTATTGTATGATAGAATCATCATATACTGTTTCTTCTTCTTTTTAAAAAATAGTTATTTGATGACTCTCAAGGGAAGCCAGCCGTTGCCGTGATTGATAATGGAAGAGGCATGAGTTCTAAACAACTGAATAATTGGGCTGTGTATCGGTTATCAAAGTTTACACGACAAAGTGATATGGAAAGGTTAGGATGTTCTAATTTCAATGGTATTTAAGTATAAAATTGGTGAATTTTATTGTGTAAGAATTCAGTGTTCTCAGGACATGTTTTAAAAAGTTCCCGTAGTTCTTAAATGCTGAGAAATTGAAACAGCTAACAAAAAGTCCAAATAATTATACTTTGAGGTCTCAGTATTTCATGTCTCTTATCTTTTGTTAAGATATGTAGTTTTTACATTGATAACTTTGTCAACCACTTGAAATACTTTAGTAATTACCAGGAAGCAAATCAATGTTTCCGAATATTTGAATGAATATATAATGGAGATATTTTGTAATGTTTAGTTAGTAGTAAGCATTACGTGTTCTTGCTTGGTATTGTTATTAATTGGAAAAGTTTTCAGTAATGTCTGATATACTCACACTTGCATATTTAACAGCTTCTGCTATTTCTTTTTTTGTCTAATTTTGGTATTAGTGACCATTCAGGATATGTACGTCCTTCAGCAGTACCCCGCAGTTTAAACAGTGATATATCATATTTTGGGGTTGGTGGTAAACAAGCAGTGTTTTTTGTTGGACAGTCTACCAGAGTAAGTAACATTTTATATTTTTACAATTTTAGCCATTTTATGTGGTACTTCCTGGTTAACCTAGATTAGCAACTGGCTGTGTGTGTTTTCCTGCTTCTGTATGCAGCATACCTGTAAAGTGTGCCCCATGCTGATACAGTAGTCATAAGGAAAATCATCAGACCATTGTCACCAATTGGCTATTAGAAAGGAGGCCTGTCCACTTAGCAGTTATTGGGAACACTGGTTTGGCTTACCCACACCCTTCATGGCCTTTGGTAAATGAACAGGACCTCTTTGCCTCCCAGCTGTTTGTGGGTAACAATAGTTTTCCTACATGAACCACAGTCTGGCAATTGGGACTGCTGGTCTCAAACACTGGATATTACACACTTAAAATGAATGAGAATACTCTGTGTTGCTGGTGGAGAGAAGGCAGTCTTTGTCTTGAATACGACAAAGTAATGAGACGGGATGTATTCTATATCTGGGTGCTGTATTGGGGGGAAATGCATACTGATGGTCCCTTCTTGTCATCTTGTGTGCACTTTTGACAGATGTGGCTTCTCTTGTAATTCTGAAACTGTTCTACAGTGGTACCTCGGGTTAAGTATTTAATTCCTTCCAGAGGTCCATTCTTAACCTGAAACTGTTATTAACCTGAAGCACCACTTTAGCTAATGGGGCCTCCTGCTGCTGCTGCACCGCTGGAGCACAATTTCTGTTCTCATCCTGAAGCAAAGTTCTTAACCTGAGGTACTATTTCTGGGTTAGTGGAGTCTGTAACCTGAAGCGTATGTAACCTGAAGCATATGTAACCCGAAGTACCACTGTATTTATTATTTAAAATTTTTAAATCTTGAACAGATGATAAGCAAACCTGCAGATTCTAAAGATGTTCATGAGCTTGTACTTTCTAAAGAAGATTTTGAAAAGAAAGAGAAAAACAAAGAAGCTATATACAAGGGATACATTCGAAACAGAAAGGTAAGGAACTTAAATTATTTGTTGAGTTATACAAAATACTTGAAAAAAGGTCATCTTAGTACTTAACAAGTAGCTACCAGGGTTTAGGCAGTTGTTGGGAAATTAATTGTACCAACAAGTTTTATCTTTTCTGATAAGCAGCTGGACAAGAAAGATGAGAGCAGTTGTTTCCCAGTTTATGGTTACAATTCCAGTCAAGTGACCTATTTTATTTTATTTTAAAACTATTTCTCAAAGCCATCTGACTCTTCCCATATTGTTAATGATGATGAACGATTCCTGCACAATCTTATCATGGAAGAAAAAGACAAAGAAGGTTTCACTGCAGTAGTTATTACAGGAGTACAGCCAGAACACGTGCAGTACCTGAAAAACAATTTTAACCGTTGGACCAGGCAACTATCGTGAGTTGTTTGTTAAAATAGTTAATATGTTCAAATACTATTGACTCATATCTTGCATTACTTAAGATTTTTTTGTGCAGTTTCTGCAAATCATTTATTAATTGAATTTACTATAAATTTATACTAGTCTATATTAGTGCATAGTACGCTTAGTGCTGCTTTCAGGTTTCCAGCTGCCAGTTGTGGGGTGCCCATTTTATAACTTGAAGTAAATGCCTGCTTGATTATTCAACAGTGTACCAATTTTGTAAATGTATTTTATTCAAACTTTTAACAGACACATATACCATTTTTTTACAGACACATATACCATTACTATATCCATGGACCAAAAGGAAATGAAATTAATTTGCCAATGAAGGAAGCAAGAACTTTCAACAATATTGATATTGAGGTAGGATCTATATACATTGGTTTGCAAATAATTACATTTGCTTAGAACCAGGGACTATCCAAAGTGTTACACTTGCAAAACAGGGCTTTCCTATTTCCTCCTTTCCCTGCATTGTTTCTGGTGTTCAGGGAATAGCATGAGCAATGATGCAGTGGGATGCCAGTGGAAAATATCGTCCCTTCCTTGCATGAACAGAAGTGTCTTTCTGCTAGCATAAGGAATCCCACCCATTGAACAGTGGGAACCTCTGGATCCTACCCACTTCATATTGTGTACATCTGCCCTACAAGGAGATAAAGCTCCAGTCATGGCTCTAACCTTTAGACAGCCCTGCTACTACCATTCCTATAAGCTATGTTACTGGGGAGCACAGATTCTCCTGATTCCTAGTTTGCACAAATCTTGGAGCATGTTGTTAAGTTTGTATTATTTCTGCCTCTTGATGACCGTGGCAACGAACATTTATAGGAGGAACTTGCATTTATTTGTTGTTTATTTGTAGATTTCAATGTATGAAAAAGGGAAGACACCTAAGATTGTGAATCTTAGAGAAATTAAAGATGATATGCAGACATTATATATAAATACGGCAGCAGATAGTTTTGAGTTCAAGGCGAAAGTTGAAGGAGACGGTGTAGTGGAAGGTGTTATACGCTATCACCCTTTCTTGTATGATAAAGAAACGTATCCTGATGATCCTTGCTTTCCTTCAAGTAAGTTGGGTAACTTTCATTCTATTTCTCATTGATGTACTAATAACGAAGGCTACATTTTGCATCCTCCTTGTGCAGCTCTTTAGCTTGGGAGCGGGGAACACTGCACTGAAGTGGTTTCACTTCTGCCTTCTGACTTTTTCCAGAGAGTAGCAATAGGGAACTATTGCCCCATGTAAATTGCTTTCATAGACCTGATGAAGGCCTTTGACCTCATCAACCGAAAAGGACACTTCACACTGCTCAACAAGATAGGATGCCCACCTAAGCACTATAGTATGATTGTTTCCTTCCATGAGAACATGTGTGGCACCGTCCAGTATGACAATGTGGAGAATGGCTGTGTTCTAACCCCAGCTCTCTTAGGCATATTCTTCTCCCTGTTGCTCTCATATGCCTCCAGATTGACTGCAGGTGATGTGTATGTCCATTCAAGAAGCAAGAGGGTCTGTTCAACCTGGCACAGCTTGATGCCGAGACAAAAGTGTGGTGGGTTATTATCTGGGAGATGCTGTTTGAAAATGACACAACCTTGACAGCACACTCTGAGGAAGCTCTACAGCAAAGCTTTCCAAACTTTTCATGTTGGTGACACACTTTTTAAACATGCATCATATCACAACACAGTCATTCAGTTTTACTAGCAAACCAGAGGTTAAACTAACCCCTTTCCAGCTCCGGGAGGAGAGTGGGGAGAGTTTACACAACGCACCTACATACTGCAGCTGACACCCTAACATGTCACAACACACAGTTTGGAAAGCTCTGCTCTCCAGAGTCTCATCAGCTGCTTTGCCCAAGCCTGCATGATGAAGACCAACATCCTGGGTCAAGACGTCGCCAGCACTCAACAAATCAGCATGGGTGACAACATGCTTGAGGTGGTAGACAATTTTGTCTACCAGGGTTCTACCATAACCAGCAATCTTTTCATTGACACTGAGCAGTACAAGCATACTGCCACAGCAGGTATGGCAATGTCTCACCTCTCCAAAAGAGTATGGGGAAATGTGCCTAGGTAGCTTCAATGGATAGAGGTGTCTTACTTACTGGTCTTGACAGGTTTGTCACTTGGCTCAATGCTCTTTTAACCTGAAGACTGGACAGTTTTTACTTACTCTCTGTGGAGCTGCTGGTTTGGAAGTTGCTGTCAGTGCAGAATGCCACAGTGCTGGTGGGCACAAATGGTCAGGTGCACATCGTGCCTCCACTGGTTGACTGTGTGCATGTGAGCCCAGTTAAAGGTACTTCTGTTGACATCCAAAGCCAGGCATTTCTGAAGGATTACTATCTCTTGTTATAGACCTGTCCAGTTTTTGAGATCTGCAAGGGAGGCCTTGTTGGCAGTTCTGCTGTGCTGTGAAGTTTGTGAAGTGCAGTACCTGAGAAGACCTTCTCTATGGTAGCCACTTGGCTGTTGAATGCCTTCTGAGGTGCATCTGGTTTCGTCACTGTATACATTTCAACAACTGGTCAAGCCACACATTTTTGCACTGACAATTGGGACTGGAGGATGAGATTAGAATATCCCTCACTGCAATGTTGTTGTTTCTGTCCGCTCTTCATTCAGCTTAATGATCTAGTACTGTTTAGGTTTTACTTAGTTAACTTGTAGTATTGAGCTTGAAGGTAACCTGCCTTGCGGCAGGCTACATGGTGAAGGACAGGGCTATAATTACATATATATATAATTATACACGGGGACGCGGGTGGTGCTGTGGGTTAAACCACAGAGCCTAGGATCTGCTGATCGAAAGGTCGGCGGTTCGAATCCCCGCGGCAGGGTGAGCTCTCGTCGTTCGTTCCCAGCTCCTGCCTACCTAGCAGTTCGAAAGCACCCCTAAGTGCAAGTAGATAAATAGGGACCACTTTCTAGCGGGAAGGTAAACGGCGTTTCCGTGTGCGGCGCTGGTGCTGGCTCGCCAGATGCAGCTTAGTCATGGTGGCCACGTGACCCGGAAGTGTCTTCGGACAGCGCCGGCTCCCGGCCTCTTGAGCGAGATGAGCGCGCAACCCTAGAGTCGGTCACGACTGGCCCTGATGGGCAGGGGTACCTTTACCTTTATAATTATACAACCTGAAATTCTTATGCTGTAAAGTGCACCTAAGGTTGATGGGGATGTTTGGCTGAAACTTTTAGGGTGATCTGTTTCCTGCTTTGTATGACATGGGAGAAAACCATGAAGCCTATTGGGTCACTGGGTATTAAGCTGTACAAACTTTACTTTACTTTAGTTCACTTCACTTCCCGGTGTTGATTAACTTTTATTAGTTTGCTGCATATTTGAGGGGAAACTGTATGACTAATAAATAATTAGAAATAGTGGTTTAATGTTCTATTTTGGAGAACAATGTCTTCTGTCCTTGCATTCCTTTGTAATTTGACACTCATTTTTCAATTTAGAATTAAAAGATGACAATGATGATGAAGAATGCTATGTAATAGAAAAGGGAGCAAGAGGGAAAAGGCCTATTTTTGAATGTTTTTGGAATGGAAGACTAATACCATACACAACTGTTGAGAAGTAAGATTATGCCTATGCAATAATTTACATTTTTATTATTTTTATTATTTTTGTAAAAGTTTCTAATCATTGCCTTTCTCCCTAAGCTTTGAGTGGTGTGCTCTGCCCAAGAGAGGTCTTGCCCCATCTGAATGTTACAACAGAATTTCTGGTGTGTTATTTACAAATGACAGATTTCAGGTCAGCACAAACAAACTGACTTTCATGGATTTGGAATTGAAGTTAAAAGACAGAAACACAATTTTTACAAGAATCGTCAATGGACAGGTAATACTTGTTCAATTTAATTGCTTGTCACAATTGGATAAAAAAATTAAGAGAACCATTATATGTGAGCTTTCTGTCTTTTTATTGACTTACTTTAGATTTTTAAATTACATTGCCTAAGTTTAGACTTTTATTGTATTTGAGGAGTTTGGTATGTGTTACCATAATGTTGGGGCTGGCTCCTAGTCTGAAGGGGCCCTGGGCAAAGTACTTTCTGGTAGGCTCCTTCCCTACTTCATCAATGGACCTTGGGAGGCTTACCTGGCTTTAGTAGTAGTACTGAGCAGATGGGTCGAGTCACCTTTTTAATTCCCCTCAGTGGCCAAGTGATGCTAGGTCAGGAACATTGTGGGTAATTAAAATTGCCACACCTTGTCTCTTCGTTATTTTAAATAATGACTAATTGAAGCTGGGGAACGCGGGTGGCGCTGTGGGTAAAAGCCTCAGCGCCTAGGGCTTGCCGATCAAAAGGTCGGCGGTTCGAATCCCTGTGGCGGGGTGCGCTCCCGTTGCTCGGTCCCAGCGCCTGCCAACCTAGCAGTTCGAAAGCACCTCCGGGTACAAGTAGATAAATAGGGACCGCTTACTGGCGGGAAGGTAAACGGCATTTCCGTGTGCTGTGCTGGCTCGCCAGATGCGGCTTTGTCACGCTGGCCACGTGACCCGGAAGTGTCTCCGGACAGCGCTGGCCCCCGGCCTCTTAAGTGAGATGGGTGCACAACCCTAGAGTCTGTCAAGACTGGCCCGTACGGGCAGGGGTACCTTTACCTTTACCTTTAATTGAAGCTGAGGCCTGCCCAAGACTGCACCTTCAGACAGTCATAAAGGCTGAACTACAGTTACTCTAATACATGTTCAAAATTCTTCACAGGAGCAAAGAATGAAAATTGACAGAGACTTTTCATTGTGGCTCAAGGAGTGCCATGAAAAACATGACAAACAAATAAAATTCATACACTTCAAAGAAATAATTACACGCACTGAGCTGCACTCTAAGCGCTTGCAGAGTCCCTGGTCTACATATTTGGCAATAGAATGGGATGGAAAGACATACAAAGCTGGGCAGTTGGTAAGTTCATTGCTTGTTGATGACACTTTTTAAAGATGGCCTAACGCAGATTTGAATGCAACAAAAGTTTAATATAAATAAAATTATAATATGCTTTTAAAAGAATGTTTGCTGGGGAAATAGAAGTACTTTGTTGCTTATCCTGTATAATGCAGACAAAAATATTGATGTTATATATTATTTTATGTTATAAAAAGCTAATTTAGGATTCAATTATTGCTACTGTAAAAAAAATATTTTAAATGTTTTTATTGATGTGAGCATTTCTACCCCACCCTTGTAATGCATACATATCCCTCTGTTGCTTCTGATAACTACAAACGTACCCCATCAGCACATGGGTTTCCACTTGCAAAACAGGACTTCCCCCCTCTTACTACAACCCAGTTTGGGGATCAGAACTGAACTGTTAACTTGAAAAGCATCAGCCTTGCTGTGTTTGCTGGTCCCGTGGGTAACTGTGAGGCGAGGTCCGAGTCCAGTCCGAGGTCAAGGGTGCAGTAGGGAGGCAGTCCGTCAAAGCTGAAGCTGGGTCCAAGGCAGGGAGTCGGGTGAGGTCAGGAGCTCCAGCAGGCAGGAACAGGCTACCAACAATGTTGCTCCCGCAACCTGGCACTGGGCTGGCTGGCTTTTATCTGCCCCCAGGCATAGGGCGGTCCCGGTCCACAGGTGACTTGCCTCTCCTGGCCTGGAGGCGAGCACTCCTCCTGTGGGAACTTAGTTCCCTCCGCCTCTCTGCCCTGAGCCTCTGCAGCTCAGGAGAGGCTGGAGGGTTACCGGACCCAGAGGCAACCTCAGCTTCCCCTGACGGGGCTGAGAGTGGAGCACCTGCAGGCAATGGGTCCTCCATCACCTCAGGAACCAGAGCAGACTCAGCTGGTGCCTGCACCTGAGGATCCAGCACAGGTTAGGACCCTTCAGCTCAAGCCCCAGCCCCAGCTCAGCTGGTTCTGGAGGCGGGGAATCCTGTGCAGGCTGGGATTCCTCAGGTTCAGCCTCCGAGTCCAAATCCCAGGCCATCACACTGTGTGTGTCAAGGTGATCAAACCTGAGACACACAGCCTCAGAACTTCCTTTGTAAAGGAACATAAGGACAAGTAAACTTTCAAAACACGAACATGTAAAAGCTTTATTCTCCTAACCAAGTTTTACACAGCCTGTGGTATCTCTCCCTAATGAAATGCTATCCCTCAGAAAAGGGAAATAGGAGAACTCATCTTTCCAGTTTCCTATCTAAGCAGACTAGGCCACCCCCATCCCCCACAAAGGATTAAGTGATACCCACACCAAGCATCCTTCCCAGGAAATCCTTGAGGCAGTGATAAACAGGGAAATGGTGAGGTGTGAGAGAAAGACACATGTTGCCTCTGTGGGTTGGCGTAGCCTTCTCCAAAAGGGATCAGAGGGAGAACTGCTTTTATGGAGATATGGGATGGACAAAAAAGTCCTATCCCACAGGATCCAGAATGCCATAAGATGGCAAAGCAGCATTAAATCCTGGTTCTAGATATCAAAAATGTCTCTGTATTGTCCTCTTCACATGCATGGAAACATACTTCAGGCTCAGAGTTAGGGTCTAGCCCACATTACCTGCATCACCGGGCTGAAACTTGACCTTCACACCTCCCATCCATTAGCCCACAGCCTTGCTTCTTTGTTTCAGCCTCTGTAGGGAAAACACATTTCAGATAAATGGTTGCTAAGGCTTGCTAGATTGATCTGTTACTTTCAAGGCTGGAGCAGACTGCAGAAAGCTCCATTATTTTACTAACAGCTTGGGTTTCAAAATCACAACTACATTTAATTATTTTTAAAACATTTCAAAATGAAAAGATAGAAGAGATAAAATAAGTGTTTTTGAAAGTATTCACTTTTATAAATAATGAATACACAAGCTTTGTTCCCAGTGATATTTTTTTAAAGTTCCAGTTTCATGTTGGTACCCAGCTAGTGTCACAAACAAGCTATGCCTGTCACTATGATACGTGGAAGGTTTATTCCCAACCAGAACAGTTTTAACTGTATCCCCTAACAGAATATAGACCGCAAACAACTTTTTTTCCCTAAACACTCTGTGCCGTTGAACCAGCATGGTAAACAGTTTTTTAGAAATGATACACTGTGTCTTTGGAATAAACTTGGAACCTCTTAAACAGTCCCACCCACCCACCCCCAACTCCAGTTCATAACATAGTGTAAGCTCTGTATTTCACCATGCAGTGGGTTCTCACTTGGAGAAGAACTTTTACATACCAAATTGCATTTGCATGCAGGAGATGCTTTTACCAATACTGTTTTTGGCTACTGAAGAATTACAGTAAATAGAACTACAGTGGTACCTCAGGTTATGTACTTAATTCGTTCCGGAGCTCCGTTCTTAACCTGAAACTGTTCTTAACCTGAAGCACCACTTTAGCTAATGGGGCCTCTTGCTGCCGCCGTGCCGCCAGAGCACGATTTCTGTTCTCATCCTGAAGCAAAGTTCTTAACCTGAAGCACTATTTCTGGGTTAACGGAGTCTGTAACCTGAAGCGTATGTAACCCGAGGTACCACTGTATGTTAGTTAGTCTTTGTTGTTGTTGTATGTTCATGCAGATTGAATGGATCCACCAAATATTATTTCTAGGATTAAATTAAATCTGTAAAGAGTACAGTAAAAAAATAAAATACTGAACTTCTGTTTGTGTCTTAGGTAAAAACAATTAAAACAGTTCCATTACTCTATGGCAGAATAAGGAAATTTTTTCTATATGGCGATCATGATGGAGATGTGTATGCGACAGGAGGAGAGGTTCAGATAGTTTTGGTAAGTGAATAGTCAAAAATTGTAAACTGATTAAGTGATTTAATTAGATTAGAGGTAACAATTTCTTTGAAAGTCTTCCATGAAGATTGTATTTTTCGCTCCATAAGACGCACCTGACCATAAGACGCACCTTCTCCCGCTGGAGCCTTAGCAACCGGACAGCGCCTGCAGCTCAGTCAGCCTGTATTCAAAGGCGGCGGCAGCAGCAGCAGCAGCAGTGAAACTAACCTCATTGGCTTTCCTGGCGGCTGCACCAACAGCCTCTGCTGCTCTTTTCAATGAGCCTCATTCTCCGGCCGCAACATCTGTCTCCCTGGGCAATGTTTGCTCAGACATTACTCGGCTCTGGCGGTAGCCTCTCTCTCTCTCTCTCTCTCTCTCTCTCTCTCTCTCTCTCTCTCTGGCCTGGCATTAAGCCGCAGCAAACTCCTGCTGCAACTACATCCGCTCCCTGGGAGACAGGATGCCAGGAGAGGGGGGTGGAAAGAGAGAGGGCACTTGTCTAGATCAGGTGTTGTTGTTAATTTGTATACTGCCCTCCATCCAAAGATCACAATATAAAAATGCAAAGCAAAAACAGAGCAAAAGTGAAGGTCGACGCCTCGCCTTGCAAACAAAATCCAAATGTGTTGTCTGCCAGCCTTGCTTGCTCATCCAAGGTATAAAGAGACCCGTTTCCTCTACTTTTGGGCAACATCTCCCTCAGAGCCTTCAGACACACATGGGCATCTGGCAGCTAAGCCTAGGGGTAAGAGGCAAATATATTGTTTGGCGGAAGCTCCCCGTCCCAATTTGACAGAGCGTGCGAGGGAGAAAGATCCCCCTCCGCGCTGGCTCCTGGCTGCTCTCATGCAAGTCACAGAGCCCCTCGGATGGAGGGAACTCTAAAGAGTATTCTAAAGCCTTCTTCCCCACCTCACCTCTTCTTACCCCCTCGCGTGGGCGCCGCCGTTAGGACACTCGCACGGGCGACATGCCATGCCCCCACCGCCCTGGGAACCAAAGTCCCCAGCTCCTCTGCTGCCAGGGACCACACATTCACTCCATAAGACGCACAGACATTTCCCCTTTTTAGAAGGAAAAAAGTGCGTCTTATGGAGTGAAAAATACGGTAATTATATGCAAGTCAAACTGATTTCAGCTAAAATTGTTAAAAACTTGAACAAATCTCTAAATGACGCTCAGCTTTTTATTAGCTTGTTTATTATTTGTCTGATTTAGAGATATTAGAGAAAAGATAACTGCACTTGACCCATTTCACATTTTATTTGATTATAAGGCTTTTAGCCCCTCCATTATAGATAACAGTTCTTTTAACCTACTTTCCTCCCAGATCTTCATATCCCTTAGATAACAGCAAAGAGAGGTGACAGCCCTGTACTTAAGTACTGTACTATTTAATATATTATTTTATATTGAATTTAGTATAACGTTTAATCCTGCAGTCTCGGGGAGGGCAGCCCAGAAGCCATTGAATGTTATTATTATTAATTAAATTTCTCTACCAGCCTTCAACCAAGAATCACAGAGCAATTTACAATAGAAAAATACATACTACAGTAGCAAATAAAGCAGTAACCACCCCCCCATACAACCTATGGCTTTTAAAATTAGCCAAAGGCCTGAGAGAAAAGGAATGTTTTTGCCTGGCACCTAAAGTTATATAACAAAGGCGCCAGGCGAGCCTCCCCGGGGGGAGCATTCCACAAGCAGGGAGCCACTGCAGAATGTTATGGGTCTTTTGGAAACCCCCTCATAGTTACTGTAGATAGAACCACAATTAATGCTTCAATGGTAGAGAGAGCAAAAGTGGGGCATTGTAGAGGCTAATCTGGGGAGGATTTGGACCCTCCTAATTCCCCTGACTAGGAAAGAATATCAGCCCTGATGCTGGCATAAACCTTTTCCTCTACTTTCCCACCCTGCACCTTCTGCCCTAGCCAACGTGAGATTGGATAGGCTCAGGATTTGTTGGTTCCAGGGGCACAGATTTACCACTTCCAGCCCTCATTGGATTGTTCTGCCCATGATGATATAAAGTTCTATGTATCCGAATCCAGATATAATTTAATTCTATGCTCCCTTATCAGAAGTCATTTATGAATAAGCAGCTTAACTTTTCAGGAACCCGAGGAACTCTATGATGAAACCAAGGTTATACCAATATGCAAACTTGATCGTTCGGTTTCCAGCAAAGCAGTGAAGAAATACATTGAAGAGGAAATGTCCAAGTAAGTTTATATAAGCCAATGAAAAGCTGACCTGTTAATTCAAAAATATGCAGGCTGTGTTTATTTATATTTATTAAATTTGTATACCGCCCTTCATCTGTAGATCTCAGAGCAGTTCACAACATGGTTTAAATGAATTAATCTAGCTGATTTAATTGATTAAAGTTTGTAGTGCCAGAAAATGTAAATAATAACTTTTTTTTTTAATTAGGCTTCCTGATAGGTTGTCAGTAACATGGCCCGATGGAGATGAATTATTACCAAATGAAACTAAGCTTGCAGGAGCTACCATAGGTATGTGTTAATGATAAAGGGTTGGATCTAGAAAAAAGTGACATTCCTCCCACCAGCAGCTTATCATACCTTCTAAAAGGATCCTCCTGAATAATATGAGCTATGGCACAGGAGACTGAGGGGGAAGTGGGGTCATCAATAATCAGGTAGAGGCAACTTCCATGAAGGGAACTAGCACTTATGGAAAGTGTCTCTGCCTGATTTTCAAGCATTTGTCTCCCCCAACACAACACAGAAGAAGAAGAAGAAGAAGAAGAAGAAGAAGAAGAAGAAGAAGAAGAAGAAGAAGAGTTTGGATTTGATATCCCGCCTTTCACTCCCTTTAAGGAGTCTCAAAGCGGCTAATATTCTCCTTTCCCTTCCTCCCCCACAACAAACACTCTGTGAGGTGAGTGGGGCTGAGAGACTTCAGAGAAGTGTGACTGGCCCAAGGTCACCCAGCAGCTGCATGTGGAGGAGCGGAGACGTGAACCCAGTTCCCCAGATTACAAGTCTATCGCTCTTAACCACTACACCACACTGGCTCTTTCAAGAGGGTTCTCTGACTTTTGGAGAGGCTGCTAAGGAGAGAAGGGAGCTAGAATATCATGTTCTACCAATCCACTTCTATGGACCGTGTGTGTATCTAATTTGTAGTGTAATTTAAATATTACTTATGGACAAGTGGAGTTTGAAAAGAACTTACACTTAGATCTGTTTAATGTATTTGGGGGGGGGTGTTCTGTTTTTTTATTTATAGGAGCACTAAGAATTGAAATATTGAATAAAAAAGGAGAGGCTATGCAAAAGCTTCCAGGGTCAGGTCATGGAGCAGCGAAGAAATTGCTTGTGGAACTTAAGGTCATTTTTCATTGTAAGAATGAAATCTCTTTTCATTAGATTATTTTAAAACATTATTATATTGCGGTTTGATACACTAGCCATTAGAACAGAGCTTTCCAAAAATTTCATGTTGGTGACACACTTTTTAGACATGCATCATTTTGTAGCACAACAATTCAGTTTTACTAGCAAACCAGAGGTTAAAACTAACCGCTTTCTAGCCCCGGGAGGAGCGTGGGGAACTTTCATGTGACACACCTACACAATGCCGGGGAAACTCAGCGAGATGGGTGCGGTATAAATAATAAATTATTATAATGCAGCTGCCACACTAACGTGTCATGACACACAGTTTGGAAAGTTCTGCATTAGGATAACACAATGTCTCATGTGTTAAACATTTTAAAGTTCTGATGCATTTTAAAATATATTCCTCTAAAGCAGCAGTGGGGCATCTGTGGCCTTCCAGATATTGTTAGACTCCCACTCCCTAGCTACTAGCCATGCTGACTTAGCCAGCACATTTCAGGCTAGTAATTTTCTTGCAGGCTACTAACTTCTAGAGGATTTATTACAAGGTTGTGTTAGCTGTTTCTGGGCAGACTAAAGCAATCAACTATTCTTCAATGCATCAGTCATGGGCACTTCATTTTTCTTTGCTACATTTTTGTGAGGGTAAGGACAGAAGGAGCAACTCTGGGGGGAAAATATAAAATTGTGCATTGTATAGATTCCTATATTCCCATATTTAAGCAGCAGTCTGGTGCTCACTTATTTGGAAGAAAGTCCTCATTGAACTCAAGTGGATATACTTCTAAGTAAATTGGATTGTGCTATTAACATTGCAGACTCATGGGTGCTAGTAGTAAGAAAGACCCTATATAGGAATATATTTAAAATATATCCTTTGTAAGTAAAAAAGAAAAGGAAAAGGAAAGTATGCAAAATGTATACAGTATTACTAAGAGATGCAAGGCTTAATTAGGAGAATGAAACAACATTAATACTATGTTTAGTTGCTAATTAACATTATTTAGTGGCCAAATTTGCACCAACCTTTAGGAAACATGAAGAAATAGCAATAGGAAACTTTTAAGTCATGCTTTAAAAATTCATCATTCATTTAATTTTCCTAGAATTCAGTCAGCCTACCTGGAAAGGGACGACCTTCCTCACCCCAAGTTCCAGATGGAGCTGGGATGCAAAGCAGGATTATTTTTGACCTTGTGCAAAGGCACAAGAGGCAAGAGGAAGATTAGGCTCCTAGCAACTACCATTTTTCATTCAGCTACGAAGGCGTTCAAAAAAGTAGTGAATCTCTACATTTCCTGCCAGCTGCCTAATTTTCTAATCCTGTTGGTTTCCATTAGGGGACATTTAAGCAAAATCAGTGTCATTTTAAATAACATGGCTGGGGCTGAATCAAGCCTACATCACTTTAAATTTAGTTCTCAGTTCACCTTCACCAAGCTGTTAATGTAGGGGTGGTTATCCCCTGACTTGGAGGCCTTATCTGGCACCCTCCCCCAAGAGCACCAGTTTTGAAGACAGCAACAAAACTAGTGTGGGGTTGTTGTTTTTTAAGTAGACACTGCACTGGTGTGGGCAGAGTAACCCCTTATTTAGTTACCTTAATATTATTATTAAAATACACATATATCCTGTATTATTTGTTTGCAACCTAATGCATTTAAAGATACCTTAGCACAATTTTTATATGTGTTTCTTTCTTCCCCCTATTTAAGCCCATAATGGAGATAAGGAAATCATTTCTCATATCAGTCAACATGGGGGTAAATGGCCTTACTGGTTCAAAAAAATGGGTGAGTGTTTTTGCTTTAATTTACCTTACAGTTGAGCAATATTTTGATTATTTCATTTTAAACTTTGTTTCTGATTATACACAGAAAACATTACTAAACTTGGATCCTACACATTGAAACTGCAAGTGGTGTTGAATGAAAGCAATGCCGACACTTTTGCAGTAAGACCTCTTCCATCAGAAACATTTAAATTTAATATAATAGGTAAGGTTAATACTGTTGTTGTATTTTAACCAGTCAGCCTGTTCTTTGCATGCAGAAGTTAGCTGTGACACACTCAGTAAAATACTATTTTTCTATTTAAAGTTGGATTAAATGTTGAAAACGTTATTGAAAGTGTTAATAAAATATAAATGAGTTGAAGCATTCAGGCTGTATTCAGATGGGTGAAGAATGACTAGAATTAATCCACTAAACAGTTTCATTGTAATAACATTGTTTTCCCCCCATCTACCTCAGAGGGCAAGCCTCAGAAGTTTTCAATAGGTCTTTTGGATTCCCCATTTCGAGTTGGGCATCCATTCAATATTCCTCTAGATGTCCAGGATGAATTTGGTCATGCTACCATCTGACGGATGATATTGTGCCAATTCTTGAGGCTAGGTAATTGTCATTTTAATTATTTTGTTTATTTAGTATTCTTAAATAAAGATTTGTATTTTCTCTGTTTTCCCCCAATCCAGTGGGTCCCAAATAAATGTTGTGCACACACAGCTAGGTGCTTTTCATTTCAGAAATTAGTGATCTGTCTCCTTTGCACCAAAAGCTAAGAAATCGTCTCTTGAAATCTTACACAGTTTTGAGGTTACATGGTGGTTAATGCAGGAGGAGGTTACAGGTGCTTGCTGGTATCACAACTGAGGCTTTTTACCCATGGAAAATGAATGGAGTTCTTAAACTGGGATTTTTCACAGTAGTTTTAACATGGAAGGATTCTGTATGCTGATGGGAGATTCCTCCCATCTAGTTCAGGAGAAAAGACTAATTTCATTAGAAGCAGCAGTGTCTCAGTATTTTTCTTGCCTACAGTGAAAAGCAGTGATGCTAGACAGTGATCTATTGAGAATATACAGGAGTGAGACAATGTTTCAGGTATCTTGGGTTAAGAGGATGTGTCCCTAAAATATGGAATTAAGCCATAATCTTTACCTATTTAACTGAAATGTCTATCATTCTTTTGAGCTGTCTTATACAGTGTACAAAGTGCAGTGCCCCCCCCCAAAAAAACTAGGCAATTTGAATATTTTGCAGCAGTGCCCAATCTGGACAGGGTGTTATCATTCCCCAACCAATAAAATAGTGTTGGATTGACCCATAAGAGTTATTTCTGATCATAGACAGACACCTGGGCCCTGGCCTTTAATTTCCTCTGGTGGGGAGTTTGTTCCCATAGTCATCCTGACAGAAAAGGTAAAGGGACCCCTGACAGTTAAGTCCAGTCGCGAATGACTCTGGGGTTGCGGTGCTTATCTCGCTTTACAGGCTGAGGGAGCCAGCGTTTGTCTGCTCCGCAGACAGTTTTTTCCAAGTCATGTGGCCAGCATGACTAAGCCGCTTCTGGCACAACGGAACACCGTCACCAGAGCAGTGCACGGAAACACCATTTACCTTCCCGCCAGAGCAGTACCTATTAATCTACTTGCACTTTTTGGCGTGCTTTCGAACTGCTAGGTTGGCAGGAGCTGGGACCGAGCAATGGGAGCTCACCCCATCGCGGGGATTCGAACTGCCAACCTTTTGATCGGCAAGCCCAAGGCTCACTGGTTTAGACCACGGTGCCACCCGCGTCCTGATAGTAGCCCTCTCTTTTCTGTGCAATGTTAAAATAGCAAGTCCACAGTTTTGCATTTTGCTTTATTCCTTACTTTTGGGCTGATCCACAGTAGAGGTTTCAGAAGCTTCTGGAATTTTAGTCTTCTGAAGTGAATGAGAAGGGTCACTCATCATCACATAATATTCTGTATAATTCAGAAAGAGCCCTCATGGGTAACTCCACATTATGTATTATTTAGTTGCAATTTTAAAATGGTCACTTTAGTTCTTAAAATTATTTTCACTTGTGTTTTGTAGTGGCTTAACATTACAGTATGAAGAAATAGATAAAGGACCAAATTGTGCCATTAAGGGTGTAACTGCTAAAAGGCCTGGTAAACAATTACCAGGGAAAGGTAAGTTGAATTATGGCAAAAATGCATTGTTTACTTTTAATAAATATGTGGCTGCATACTTGTTTTTCTAAAGAATCATAGTTGTTTTCAAAGAATTAAAATATTTATCTAAAATATTTTCTATATATTTTCTATTCAATTATTAGTTTGTAGAGTATTAAGTCAAGTATTCTAGAAGTCCTTCAAGTCTAAGGGGGAGCGGGTGGGCTGTTGCCCCAGCTCACATTTCTGGAGGAGCACAACTAGGGGCCCCCACAACAGGCTCCATCAGAACCTGGCTTTTGGCGTGCGAGGCAGCTTCCTCATGCCCAGCCTCAACTCTGCTTCAACTCCACATCCGGTCACGTTTGACCCTGGGAAAGAGTGGGAGTCCATGGCACAGAGCTGCCGCGCGCCTCTCCTCCACCGAATGTGCCCCCCACGGCAGCTCCATCCCCAAGTCAGCCCTGACCAGAGAAGATGAAAGACTGTGGCGCATGTGGCGCCCAGCCATGGCACCACCATCCCCAGGTCAAGCCTGACCCAAGGGCCAGAGTGAGGCTGTGAGGTTGTCAGCCTGGCAGCTCCGACAGAGGGTGGGTGGCAATGCTGTCACCAACTCTCCTGGACTGTGGTGAGTGAGTGCGCCCCCTGCCCCATTTTGTGAGGCAAGCCTCAGGGAGCTTCCTCTGTGCCCTGCCCCCCCCCCGTCCACCTTCCCTGGGTGCAATTTCCTTACCACTGTTTCAAGTATCACTTATGTTGGGATTACTGTAAGTGTGTCTTAATGTAGGATTTTGAAATAGAAGGAGCCTCAGTTAAGAACCTCAGTTAAGTAGCTGAGGGTATTAGACAAGAGTAAAGATTAAAAGTGGAACATTTTTAAGTCATTTCCTAGGGGGTTGGAAATAGTATAATTGCTTTACAGGATTATTCACTTTGAAAACTGAAACAAAAAAAATTCATGGGCATTATTTAACATTGAGCTTTTAAAATCATATTTTTCAATTAGAGGCTTCAATCCTGAAAGTTACTTCTTCCTGGCCTGAAGGGAGGAATGCCAAATTTTGAAATTAAACTTCTTCCAGGTTAGTGAAATGTTTGAAACATGATGACTTCGATTAATGTGATCCCACTTTACATGGGCCTGTCCTTGAATTGGTCTAAGAAGCTGCAGCTGGTAAAACATACTTCTGCTCCTGGGAGCAACCCTATTGGTAGCATGCACTGCCGAATTTGTTTAATAAGCTAGATTCAAGATTTTACTACTGTTATATAGGGCCCTTTATAGTTCTGGACCAGGGTATCAAAGAAGCTATCTATCTTCCTACATCACACCCCAATTAGTTACATGTCTTGATGAAGATCTATTGATGATATAAGATGCCCCTACAGTAAAGTTGTGGTACCCAGCTCTCAAATTCTCTTCCTTTGAACCCAATGTTGTTTTTGATGCTTGCTGGAAGATTTTCTTTTCTACCAACCCTTTCCAAATGAGTCTATTTCTGCAGGTTTAATTCTGGTTGTTCTTTATTTAATGCTATTTCATGATCCATATCAGGTTTTATATTTCATTTCTGTATTCCACTCTGGTGATTGTTGAATGGTTTATTAAAAAATGAAAGTCTCTGTGGAAGTTTTTTTAAAAAGTTTGAATTAAATAAAAATAGGTGTCTGTTCTGGAGCCATAATCAGATGTAACATGGTATTATGTGGTCTCATCCCAGAAGGTATACCTCAAAACCAGTTTCTCTTAAACGTAATTTTGAGGGGAGATTCCCCCCCCCAACATAATATTAATCCAATCAAGCCTCTAAGCAGAGGCTTGACAACCATATGTCAGGAGTGCTCTGATGGTGTTTCCTGCTTGGCAGGGGGTTGGACTCGATGGCCCTTGTGGTCTATTCCAATTCTATGATTCTATGATTCAATTTATGCCTTAAGTGATGATACCATAAATGTTACCTTCTGTACAACTAAATTGGTGTTTTCAGTTCCATTGAATAAAAACTTGGAAACTATTCTTAAAACTTGCTGTATAGCAATTTTTTTAAAAAAAAAAGTTTTTGACTGTTTTAAAGCTGTCTTGGTTGTTTGTTTTGAAAACAGAAACTAAACTTTCGTTTATAAACAGGTCCACCATGGCAGCTAAATGTCAAACCAGACACTGACACATTGAAAATTGAAAATGGAACAGCATTTCCTTTCCAGGTTGAAGTGCTGGATGAAGTAGGCAACATAACAGCACAACCAAAACTAATAGTTCATTGCAAGGTAGGTCAACAGCTTTGTTCTTCTTCTTTAAAAAATATGACATTTGGACAATTGGACTAGTGCAGTTATCTCAGTATTATATTACTGAAAAATTGCCTCTGACACTGCATACAAGCATAAAAAATTCGAGGTAGAGGCCCATCCTTCCTCAGAAATGAATTAGAGATTGTCTTCCTTGCCCCCTTGCTTCATTTTTCAGCGGGAACTCACTGGAACTCAGTTCCAGCACCTCTCAGGGGGGCCCCATTGCCATTATAAGAGAACTAGGGAGGTGTTCCTGGTAAGTTCCGGCACCACTTTTTCTAGAAAAATAGCACTGCAAATCCATTCATCAAACGCTTTCCTTGTATCAGGGTAATTTTAAATATGCCATAGTTAACTACTATGTTCAAAATATTTTTATAAGTTACTGTGCAATTGAAGTTTGCAGTTACATTTTTTTTATATTTAAACCCCTGAGCAGATTTTTGCTTTTACTTTCTTCCTTCAAGTGAAAATGTTCTCGGGTGGAATGAGATTTCCATTTGATGCTTGAAGGCAGGATTGCAGCTGATTAAGGGGGCTTTGCTCATATCCAACTAGCCCCTTCCAGGTTACTTCTGCCTTCGCTCTGGAGAGCCTGTGTCCCACGCTATTCAGCTGTGCTCAGACTTGCGCTTCTTGTGTGCTGTTGTGTTAGTTCTCAGTGGTGTTTGTTTGGTGTCTGTTGCTGTTGTTTCTTGGAAACAGTAGCGTCTGATTTTCTATGCAGTTTTTTCTGCATTGATGCATTTCGTTGCTCTGCGGTGCTCCCTGTTGCTTGAAGGGATTTATTTTGGTTTCAGGGGTTGACTTGTGTCCTTTGTGCTTTGGCTTGGTGCTACTACTTATTTAATAACTTGAGATAGATTAATTAATTATAGTACAGGAAGTACTAGAGTTTTAATTTTATGTGGTGTGGCACTTTGAATCTCTCACAAAGAACACAAATGGGCTTGAATTAACGTAATTTATAAAGATGTTATTTAAATGAATCAAATTAGCTTTTGTGATAGGCGGTCATGAAAATTTCTTAATAAAAATTATTCTTCCTTTTCTTTATGACAAAACTCCCCCCGAAGTACTTCAATTATTTCTGAGGTTTTTATTCCATTACTCGGTACCTTTATCCAAGGGGTAGGGAACTGTGATCCTCCAAGTTTTTATATCCGGCCCTCAGGACACTCCCTGGCCACCACACAGTTCACTGGCTCCCTCCCTGCTTTCTTCGAATGCTTTTGCCCGGCTGAAATGTGTCATTGCATTGGAATAATGCCTCTTGCTTGCTTGGATAGAAGATACAGTGTGTCTCTGTGTGGAACATAGCATACTGTACAAAGTGTCTCATCCATTACTCTGCCTACTTTTGCCCCTTGCCCTGCCTGCTTTCCCCCTCTTGACCCTACCCATCAATAGCATGCAGCCCTCAGAAGGGTTGAAAATGGGGAAATCCAACCCTCAGGCTGAAAAAGGTTCTCAACCCCTGCTTTGTGCCCACCTATTGATATGAAAACTCTTATTTATGATGGGATTGTTTTAGTTTTCAGGAGCTCCAGGCCTTCCTGTATATGCTGTGGATTGCAGCAGTGGTGGGATAAATATCTTAACTGGACCAGTTCTACATGTAGAGAATATAAAGAAAGATCAGACGCTTAAAGCAAGGTTTGAAATACCTGTAAGTTTAAATACCTGTAATGTTTTTGCTACTTGTTGCCATTTAGTGATCTATGGCACTTGAATGCTCTAATTTCCATTGGTTGAGATGTGGGCAATATTGCTGCATGAAATTCTTTCCACAGGTGGCTGGATCAGTGGTAGTGACCCTATCTTACTCTGTATGTAGTTGCCCTTATATTCTTCTGGATTACCGATATCTTTGAATAATGAGAAATTGGTTGTCCTTGATAAATATGATTAGGCATTTCCAACCTATTTCACCCCTCATTTAGATCAAAAGACCCTCAGAACCCCAGGACCATCTAGCATGAACTGAAGGGGCCTGATGAGTCCCTTATTTTTAAACTAGAGAGTTCAGGATTTCTCTCTTCACAGGGGTTGCTTGTATACACATACAACACATCTAAAAAATCTCTCCTTTGTAATCCATCACCTACTATGAACTTCATTTCTCATTTGAGTATCAGATGTTTCTAAGTGCTATTAGCTTCCTGTACTGCTCAAAGGCAGGACACACTGTAACTTCAAAGAAAGCTATTCTCTCCCTTCCTCAGCTTATTCCTTGCCTCCAAACCACTTGATTCAGCTTTTCTTGCTGACTTTCATTTGTAATTTTCCCAGTCTCCCATATTGGCTAGTCTAATGTGTGTAGTTTTTTATTTTATTTCTATCCAATTTGTTGGCCTTTTTTCTGGCAATATCTTCCTTTGGTCTTCAGAACATAACATGGTAAGAAAATAAAATGATAAACATAAGACAAGTTTGCTGGATCAGGCCAGTGGCCTGTCTAGTCCAGCATCCTTTTCTTGCACTGGCCAACCAGATGCTTGTGGGAAGTTTGCAAGTGGGACAGAAGTGCAACAGCAGTCTGGCCACCTGTGATTGCCAGCATGTGGCATCTCCATCCCCATCATTCTGCCCGGAGACTAAGGTCCAGCACCAAGGGCCTTCTGGTGGTTTCCTCACTGCGAGAAGCCAAGTTACAGGAACTAGGCAGAAGGCCTTCTCGGTAGTGGCACCCACCCTGTGGAACGCCTCCCACCAGATGTCAAAGAGAAAAACAACTACCAGACTTTTGGAAGACATCTGAAGGCAGCCCTGTTTAGGGAAGTTTTTAATGTTTGACGGACTATTGTATTTTAATATTTTGTTGGAAGCCGCCCAGAGTGGCTGGAGAAACCCAGCCAAATGAGCGGGGTATAAATATATTATTATTATTATTATTATTATTATTATTATTATTATTATTATTATTCAGAAGCATACTGACCAATATAGAGATAAAGTTACCATGAGGTTAGATTGTGGTATATCAGTGTAAGTGTATCTGTGAAGTGCTACAGTTCCAGTTACTTCTTCGGTTTTCCTTTCTCCTTTTTATTATTAGAGTTGTAAAAGTGTACCACCATTGGAGAAGACTATTAAATTGCTTCCCAGTAGATCTGTTGCAAGATTACAAATTTTTAGCATCGAGGGAGAAAAAGCTATGCAGATCCAACACCAGGATGAAATTAACTGGGTTGCAGGTGATGTGATGCAGAATCTCATTTTCCACATGTATGATGAAGGGGACAGAGAAATATTAATCACTCCCACGCTGGCCGAGAAAGTTAAGGTTGGTATTTTTAGGACGTTAAAACTTTGATTCAACATAAACATTAGTTTTGTGATCAGGCAGTACCGTATTAAGGAGATGGGAAAGGTTACCATAACAAAAATACTATAAAAAGAAAATGTTTGCTTTGTTTACATCAGTATTTCCATTGCTTTTTTGAAGGAATTCAACCTAAGCTGTGTGAGAAAGTGGGATATATCATGACATCTGAAAGGCACATTTTCCATAGTTGTTCCATAGTTTATTTACATAATTCAGATTTCTAGGCTTCCTCAGGAGGCGTAACAACAGACATATGTATATGCTCCTAGGCCATCAAACCATGCTTCTGAATAGGACTCAACCAAGTTAAAATAACACTAAGAAATTTAAATTATGGCTGAAAATATACAGAGAGAATAGCATGTATTGAGAGCCAGTGTAATATAGAAGACTAGCTGGGCCAGTCATCACCTTTCAACCTAACAGGGCTCTTGTGAGGCTAACACAGAAAAGGGGAGAAGCATGTACTGTTTCTCACTTGGAGCTCCTTGGAGGAAAGATAACTTAATTATAGTAGTGTGGGAGGTCTTCCCAACTCAGAAGCTCCACAAATTCAATGTGCCAGTGGAATACAGCAGTATCTGCCAAGCATTTTGACATGGTTTGAAAGTGAATAGCTGTGAAGAAATCCCGGAGCTTAGGGAAAGCCATTGTATATCAGGTGGACAAGAGGCTGTACTATGGCCATTTAAAAAATTTTCTGCGCAAGGTTGAAAGTCTAAATTTTTAGCTCTAGTTTTGTTCCACACAGAATTTAAGCTTTGATCAGAGAGCCACAAAACTAGAAATTCAAGCATAACAGGAGTTCAAATGAAGGCTTTTATTTATGTTAATAATTCAACCATTTCCAATACTTTTTGTATATCAGTGAAGAGTGCACTTGGCAATCATGTTTATGAATATCAAACCAAAGTGAACATTTAAGGGACATTTTGCAGTGTACTGATGGGAAGTAAAATATCAGAGATTTTAAAATTGAATGCTTTTAGGCAGCAGAGTCATATAAGATGAACAAACACTGGACAACTACTCCAGTGATCTACCTTCTCTCTAAATACTGGTGTTGACCTATAAAATGCTAAACGGTCAGCATCTAGCACATACCAGGGACCACTGGCCCATGTTCCATCATGAACTTTAAGGCTAAACATAGTCCTTTCTGACACCCACCACCCCACAATCAGTCATCTGTTCCACAGGTGATAATACCCAGATCTTTGCAGGCAGAAATGCATGTAGAAGCTTCTGATATGTAAGAGGAATGTGGACTCCTAGCTGTGTATGGGATGATGGGCAGGAGTGCAGTCTCTCTGCAGCACTTCGACAAAATACATATAGAATGAGGGTAGAAATGTCAGTAAGGCTGCTCATGCCACAGATCTTCTCTTGCCTCAAATCTTGTCTACTCTATGACAACTTACATGGCATGTTGGATTTCTCTCTATATCTTGACAGCTTCAAGAACCTGAGCAGAAACTATTTAACACACAGCAGTTAATTGATATGGTGATGTTTTAATCTGACCAAGCCATGAGTATATTTGGATTTATGCTAT